CTGGAAACTCCTTCAAACATTGAGAAATTAAATAACATTTCCAAATAATTTATACATTAAGAAAGAAACAAAAAGGGAAATTAGAAAGCATTTTAAAATTAATGAAAATTAAAACAACATTTCAAAATTTGTGAGATGTTGCTAAAGCACTACTTGTAGTGAAATGTATAGCATTAAAGCTTTTCTTAGAAAAGTTGAAAGATCTCAGATCAATGAACTCAACTTCCACCTTTGGAAACTGGAAAAAGAGAAGCAAGTTAATGGTCAATTAATCTTTGACAAAGGAGGTAAGAATATGCAATGGGAAAAGACAGTCTCTCCAACAAATTGTGTTGGGAAAACTGAACAGCTAATGCAAAACAATGAAACTGGACCACTTTCTTACACCATACGCAAAAATAAACTCAAAATGGATTAAAGACCTAAATGTGAGACCTAACACTGTAAAAATCCTAGAAGAGAGCACAGGCAGTAATTTCTCTGACATCAGCCTTAGCAACATTTTTCTAGATATGTCTCCTGAAGCAAGGGAAACAAAAGCAAAAATAAACTATTGAAACTACATCAAAATAAAAAGCTTCTGCACAGCAAAGGAAACAGTCAATAAAACTAAAAGACAATCTACCGAATGGGAGAAGATATTTGCAAATGACTTACCTGATAAAGGATTAGTATCCAAAATCTGTAAAGAACTTATAAAACTCAACACCCAAAAAACAAATAATCTAATTTAAAAATGGGCCAAAGACATGAACAGACATTTCTCCAAAGATATCCAGATGGACAACAGACATGAATAGATGCTCAACATCACTGATCATTGGGGAAATGCCAATCAAAACTATAATGAGATATTACCTCATACCTATCAGAATGGCTAAAATCAAAACCACAAGAAACAGCAAATGTTGGCAAGGATGTGGAGAAAAAGGAATCCTCTTGCACTGTTGGTGGGAAAGCAAACTGGTGCAGCCACTGTGGAAAACATGGAGGTTCCTCAGAAATTTAAAAATAGAACTACCATATGATCCAGTAATTCCACTACTGGGTATTTACCCAAAGAATACGAAAACACTAATTCAAAAGGATATATGCACCCCTGTGTTTATTGCAGCACTATTTACAATAGCCAAATTATGGATGCAGCCCAAGTGTCTATCAATAGATGAATGGATAAAGATGTGATAAATGAAATATTACTCAGTCGTAAAAAAGAATGAAATCCTGCCATTTTCAATAACATGGATGGATCTAGAGAGTCTACTGCTAAGTGACATAAATCAGAGAAAGAAATGCCATATGATTTCACTCAAATGTGGAATTTAAGAAACAAAATAGATGAACAAAGAAAAAAAAGAGACAAACCAAAAAAGGATCCCTAACTATAGAGAACAAGTTGATGGTTATCAGAGGGAAGGTAGGGAGATTGGGGTGGGGGGATGGGTGAAATAGGTGAAGGGGTTTAAGAGTATACTTATCATGATGAGCACTGAGTGTACAATATATAGAATTGTTAAATAACTATATTTTACACCTGAAACTAATATAACACTGTATGTTTATAGTGGAATCAAAATAAAATTTAAAAAATAATAAAAGGTAATAAAAATTAAAAAGAGCAAATTAAAGCCTAAAGTAAGCAGAAGAAAGGGTACAATGATGATAGCAGAAATCAATGTGATAGAAAATAGAACAATAAGAATCAATTTAACAAAAGCTAGTTCCTTGGGAACATTGATAAAATTTGTAAATCTCTAGCCAACCTGGTCAGAAAAGAAAGAAAGATGACACAAATTCCCAATATCAGGAATATGAGATTCAACAAAGATTCTACTAATATTAAAAGGAAAATAAGGAAATACTATGTACAACTTTATGCCAATGAATTTGACAATTTTTTTAAAAAATTGAATTTGTAGTTAAAACTCAAGGCCAAGGAGACTTCACAGGTAAATTCTACCAAATATTTAAGGAAGAAATGATACCAATCCTACAAAGACTCTTCTAGAAAATTGAAGAGGAAGAAATATTTTCCAACTCATTTTGTGAGACCAGCATTACCCTGATTAAAAATACATATATGAAAAGAAAACTACAGACTAGTATCCTACATGAGCATAGATGCAAAAATTCTTAGCAAAATGTTAAAAAATGAATCCAACAATGTATAACAAGACAAATACATTACGGTCATGTGGAGTTTATTTTAGAGATGCAAGATGGATTTAACATTCAAAAATCAATCATATTATTCATATTAACATACTAAAAAAGAAAAATTATGTGATTATCAATACATGCAGAAAACACATTTAACAAAATCCAGCATCCATTCATGATTTTTTAAAAAAAAAGAAATTCCCAGCAAACTAGGAATAGAAAGAAATTTCCTCAACTCAATAGGGGCATCTACGAAGCACCTATAGCTACCGTCATAAATAACAGTGAAAGGATGAAGTGTTCCCCTAACATCAGGAACAAGGCAAGGATGTTTGCTCTTACCACTTCTATTCAACATTGCACTAGAGGCTCTAGCCAATGCAATAAGCAAGAAAAAGACACTGAAATCATTCAGATTGGAAAGGAAGTAAAATGTCTTCATTCACAGACAACATGTATGTTTTTACAAAATCTATGTTATGTACCAAAATAAATAAATAAATAAGGCTGTGAGAACTAATAAGCAAGTTAGGCAAAACTGCCGGATATAAGATCAATACACAAAAACAATTTATATTACTATATACTAGCAATGAAAAATCAGAAATTTAAATTAAAAAGCAAAATCATTTATAATTACATTAAAATAGTAGTATCTATGTATAAATCTGAAAAAAAGATATGACCTTGGTTTAGGCAAAGATTTTTTAGACATACCACCAAAACCATGATCCGTAAAAGAAAAAATTTCTTGATTGGTCTTCATCAGATGAAGACTTTCCACTCTTCGAAAAACACTGTTAAGAGAATGAAAAGACAGGGGTGCCTGAGTGGCTCAAGTCATGATCCTAGGGTCCTGGGATCGAGTCCCATATCAGGCTCCCTGCTCTGCAAGAAGCCTGCTTCTCCCTTTCCAACTCTCCCTGCTTGTGTTCCCTCTCTCACTGTCTCTTTCTCTGTAAAAAGTAAATTTAAAAATCTTAAAAAAAAAAAAAGAGAATGAAAAGACAAGCTACAGACTTGGAGAAAATACTCACAAATCACATATCTGATAAAGGACTTTTATTCAGAGTATATAAAGAATGCTCAAATCTCAGTAATAAGGAAACAGACCAGTAGAAAATGGACAAAGAATCTGAGTACACATCTCTCCAAAGAAGGTAAATAGATGGCAAATAAGCACATGAAAAATGTTCAGCATCTTCAGTCATTAGAAAAAAGCAAATTAAAACCACAAAGAGATACCATGGTATACTTATTAGAATGACCGAAACTAGAAAGACTGAGTATAACAAGTGATGGCAAGGATGTGAAAGAACTAGAACTCTCATACACTGCTGTTGAAATGTGAAATTCTACAACCACTGTAGAAAACAGGGATAGTCTCTCAAAAAGTTAGACTTACACATACCAAATGATCCATCCATTCTACCCCTAGGAATTTACACAAGAGAAATGAAAGCATATGTTCATGCATAGATTTATACACTAATTCATAGCAGCTTTATTTGTAATAGCCCAAAACTGGAAACACCCAAAGATCCACCAATAGATGAATGGATAAAAAATTGTGCTGTATCCATACAATGGAACACTACTCAGCAATAAAGGAGCAACCATTTGATGCACGCAACAACGTAGAGGAATTGCAAAATAACCATGCTGAGTAAAAGAAGCCAGACATAAAGGAATATAATCTGTATGATTCCATTTACATAAAATATAGAAAATACAAATTAATATATAGTGTCATAAAGCAGACCTGTAGTTTTGGGGGGAGGGGGTACAGAGAGGTGCAAGGGAAGGACTATTAAGGGACATGGAAAGATTTTTTTGATGATTGATGTAGGGTATATTCCCTGTCTTGATTGTGATGCATACATATGCTAAAACATATCAGACCACCCACTATAACTATATGCAATTTATCGTGGGTTAAAGTTATTAAAATAAATAAGAATGAAGCCAAAAGGAAAGTAAAACTTTATTGGAATTCATACTAGTAGTAGACATTCCTGAAAAACTATGTAAATTAATTGTAGACACTACTTTTTAAAGTACATCAGTGCATACTTCTTGAGGCAAAGAACCCTTTTGTAAAGTAATCTTCACTGTCGAATACATCTTTTTTTATGACTCTTAATGGGATATATTGTGTTTCCTTAAAGAGGATGTATATCAAGTCTGCTGGGATAATGACAGCACAAGTCCACTTCTTTTCAAGAGCATTTCGTGAGCGACAACAGCATTCCGTTGGTTGTGCTCTGTCTTGAAGTGGCAGAAGGCAATTGTGATAGCTCGCTCTACCGACTCTGTAGTACACATAAAGTTCACTTCGCTTGTTCAGTTATGTATTGTGATTAGATATTTACTCTGCTTGGCATCTTAGCCAAACGTCAACCTAGGAGCTCACGTGTACTTTGTCAAGAGAGCATAGTAAACACTTCAAAATGATTCATTTCCCCTTAGCACAAAGCTCAATCAATACTTGAATTGGAACCATGTATATGTGGAAGTTCCTTTTTCAGTCGGCTAGCAAAATCAAAACTACTAAGTCTTAGAATACCTATGTGTTTTAAATGTTTTGGGTGTTTCATTAAGGGACCTGGCTTTGTTTCCATGGGGTAAAAGGACGCAGTAAAAGGAAAGATAAAAGTCAGCCATCGAACGTGACTTTCCAGAGATGTTTTGTGAGCTCATTGTGCTGAGCATGAATATGTTAAAGGACAATTCTCCTTTTTGCCTGGCTCATGGCTGTGGGTCACAGGAACTGTGACATTCTTCTCACCTTCTGTATCTGACTCAGGTAGCTCTGGTGACCCCACCTTTCTCTCTTTCAGGGTGTGAACGGCATGTCTGTGGATGAGAAGCCTGACTCCCCCATGTATGTGTATGAGTCCACAGTCCACTGCACCAACATCCTCCTGGGCCTCAATGACCAGCGGAAAAAGGATATTCTCTGTGACGTGACTCTGATCGTGGAAAGGAAGGAGTTCCGGGCCCACCGGGCTGTGCTGGCCGCATGCAGTGAATACTTCTGGCAGGCGCTGGTTGGGCAGACGAAAAATGACTTGGTGGTCAGCTTGCCTGAGGAGGTACGGTAGTTTGGTTTGCGTGTGGTTGCTCGTGGAGGTTTCTCAACCTGTAGACAGCTGGCTAAGTAGGAGCTAAAAGGTGGACCCTGGGCCCCATTCCTGCTCAGGGGCTGATGTCCAAGTCACCAAAACTCTTAGGTTTGCCGCATAGCCAGTTTCTATTTGAGGCACTTAAAATCTCAGAGGCATGAATCTGAGCAGAGCATCTTTGTCAGGGAGCCTCACCTCACCTGTGGCTCATAGCCACTCGTAGTTTCTAGTTCACTTACTCTTCAGGTTTTGAGTAGGACAGCAAAAGTTTGCTACAGTCCTAGATGTGGGATCTGAGTCACTGGGACCGTGGCTATGGTTTTTCTCTTTCAGATGGTTGAAGGAGCACTTGATTTCCCTTGAGAGTAAAAGAATGAGAGTATTCACAGCACCTGCCTTGCTTGGGGGAAAAGTAAAAGCAATCAGTAATTTTCACAGTTAATATAGTAGGATTCTAGGAAGTGCAAACTTGCTTTTCTCCCATTGTTGAAAATACCCTACTCATGTTTCTTAATTACTTCAGTGAGTACAGTTACATCTGTACTATAGGGACACTAGTAGCTGGACCCATTCTGTTGAGAGTTGACATCCATTCAGTTGGATGGCCTAAGCTGCAGGAACTTAAAAGATGGGCTTCATAATGACAAAATATGAAATTGGTCACCCTTTGAACTGTGTATACAAGTCCTCTATTTCCATCATCTTCACTCCGTTTCATTTACATGGGACCAAGGGTAACACTGAGCAGCCTTACACCTTGGGTTCAGGTCCAGAATCTTTCACTGTGCATCTATACAGTGTATAACACTAGGGCCACCACAAACAGTTGTGCAGGCTGTGCACTGCACAGTTCCCAGAGGTACAACTCAAATCTATAGTCTGTGCAACTGGAGCCCCAGAGTTGGGCAGTGGCCCACAGCAACAGAGCAGCTTTTCGCAGCAACTCTGAAAGATACCAGAGACCCCACGACCCTGATGGGAGGTGCTAATAGTACCACTAGCATTAAATCCCAGGGTCACAAACCCAAATGCCTCCAGAGGCCTGGCAAATAATAAAAATGAATAAAGCAGTTTGTGTATAAGACACTAGGATGAGGTGGATCCAGCAAGCACCTGCTCCACAGAAAGGCATCCAAATTCAACATTAAAAAACAAATACACAACCAAGTCACAGGGGTCAGAGAGGGTCACCAGATCCAGTCCCTTGTTAAACAACATCTACTGTTAGCCCTGCAGAACAGAGAGGCCAGCTAAGAGTGGGGACTGCATAAGCACTCAACATTTTCACATTCTTCTTCTTTTTTATGTACCCACATGAAAGGCTCCAGTACCACACTCCTCACACCCCTAGGAATTAGATAGCTAGAAAGATCCTAGTACCGGAGGCTAAAGGACAAATCGGTTGCAGATAACGTACTCAGGGCTGGTGTAGGGAGGGAAACTTATGTATCAACTAATGTGGGAAGGCCAAGGAATGGCAGCTGTGGTGTGATCCTGAGCTGGATTTTCCTCATCTACATCAATGGGCGAATATTTAACCTGTCATTAGCTGAGATGATAAACATAGAAGTTCTCAGCATGGTCTCTATCCCATAGTAGGCATTCATCAAATGTTAAGACCCCTTCTCCTCTAGATGGGCAGCAAGAATGCCTTTGCAGTTTATTCCAATTCTGGAATTCTCTGGAAATATTTGGAAACTTCCAATTATCCAGAATGATCTTGGGGAGAGGATGGAGCTTATAGTTTATTTATTATCTATATCTGCTTGAGAACTATTTCATTTATGTGTTTTTTACCAATTTTCAAAAAAATCAGTTATATTAAAATATATTTAAAATGAAAATCATATTTTATGTAATTTAGTGTCTCTTCAGTGACTATTGGCCCCATCTTGAGACTTCCTGGACCATGTGCCCTAAACTCTGGCCTGCCCCCAGTTAGCTCTGGGATCCTGATCTAGTCACTTAAACCCCTCTCTGAGCCCTAGTTTCTACCCATAAAGACCCCTAAAACTCTGAAGTCCTTGAATTATTTATCATAATACAATACCAAGACAGTAAAATTTAAAGGAAACCAGGATATAAATGCATATGGCATAACTAAAAGTTTCTTTAGGTCAAATCCCTGATAATCACTTATTTCCTTGGCATTAGGGACTCTTTTTTTTTTTTTAAGATTTATTTATTTGAGAGAGAGAGAAAGAGAGTGCAGAGGGAGGGGCAGAGGGAAAGAATCTCAAGCAGACTCCCCGCTGAGCACAGAGCCCTACTCAGGGGCTTCACCTCAAGATCCTGAGATCATGACCTGAGCTGAAATCAAGAGTCGGACACTCAACCAACTGAGCCGCCCAGATGCCCCAGCATTAGGGGCCCTTTAAAGCAAGAGGCATATTGTATAGACATCACACAAAAATCTGCTATTTGGCCTTTTTGCTTTGTTTGTGTGTTCTAAGTAAGTGGGAATTTGCAATGTGTTGATTTTCTTTCTTCCTAGTCATGTAAAATGATTGCCATTTCTACATTATCTACACTGCCAAACCATTAAAACCTGGTGTTCAGGTATGTGAAACCTTCAGATATAACCAGATTTTTTTTCCTTCCTATGAAACATAAATTCATATTGTCAGTAACTCAGCTTTTAGGTATCTTGCTGATGGAGCATGCAAGCCAGCCACAGTGGCATTCTCCTTTGTGGGCCTGTAATTGTTCCTGAGGCCTCCTTTCAAGAGCCCACTCCCTCTGCTCAGAGCACCCTCCTGTGGCCCCAAGTGCTAAGCATTGTTTTCCTCTCCATGTGTGCACACTAAAATGTCCTTGCAGGCTCTAGAGTCATTGTCCCACTTAGCTCAGTGAATGACTTTAGAATTTGAATTAAGTAGTGAATAAGCAAACATCCCAAACATTACCATGGAAAGTAGCTGCTTAGAATTAATTGGCATTTGGCTCATATGATGTAAGAAAAAAGATTTGCACCTGGGTGACTCAGTCAGTTAGGCGTCTGCCTTTGGCTCAGGTCATGATCCCAGGGTCCTGGGATCGAGCCCCACATCGGGCTCCCTGCTCAGCGGGGAGCCTGCTTCTCCCTTTCCCTCTGCCTGCTGCCCTGCCCACTTGTGCTCTCACTCTCTCTCTCTGTCAAATAAATAAACAAAATCTTTAAAAAAAAAAAAAAGAAAGAAAGAAAGAAAAAACATTTGATTAGCTCCTTGGAAATTTTTAAACCCCATCATTATCCTGTCACCAAATTCAAATCAACTTCTGGTTTGCCCCAGCCTTGTTCACACTTGGCTCACCTCTACACTTCCTAGCCAGCTTCTGTGCTTCTCAGGGGGCCCTCATGGCTGAGTCTGAAAGCTCTTTCTTGGACTATGAAACTTCCAGACACATACTGCTGCCTGTCCCACTCCCCTGCTTGGTCAGTTTAGACCAAACCCAGCTCTGGTATCTAGTTGTCCAGTTGTGCAGTTCTACCCCAAACTCCTGACTCCCAATGGGCAATGCTCTTACTAGCAAATTAGAGCCACTCACAGTGCCCAGTATAGCCTCTAAACTAAAAGGGAGCAAAACAAAAATAGAGGCCTCCTTCTCGAAGTCAAGGAGTAATGGAAATGTCTTGCTCTTTTTTTTTCTTTTCTGTTTTTTTTTTCCTAAAATGGAATTACAGTCCCTAGAGTTTATATGACTTGAATGTTGGCTCCCGATTGAAGAACACACCAAAGAATGTGTATCAGCAAAAAGTAAGACATAAGGCATTGAACTTAGTACTTTTTCTTTAAATAATAAAACAGATCACTTAGTTTATAATTATAGTAAGTCTATTTTGTGCTAAGAGATGAAGAGAAAGTGGTCAATGTGCCAACATTGCAAGGCCGTTACTACACTGCTCATTAGTATTAAAGTTGGCTCAACAAATCCCTCCTTAGCTGTAGTCATGGAGACCATTTTGGGCTGGATGCCAACCATGCTGGAAGTGGCATCACAACCGTGAAGGTCAGTTTTGTGGTGTGTCGAGTACAGGGGCAGGAATGGGGTGTGTTTCCTTAGAAGACATGGAACCCACAGTGGGTTTGCCTAGCAGCCCCAGTTACGGGGCTCTCCCAGAATGCCAGAGGAAGAGCAGCTGTTAAGAGGTTATTGCCAAGGTCTATTATCAAAAAGTCCAAAGATAACAAGTATTGGCGAGGATGTGGAGAAAAGGGAACCAACCCTTGTGCACTGTTGGTGGGAATGTAAATCAGTGCAGCTACTGTGGAAATAGGATGGAGATTCCTCAAAAAATTAAAAACAGAACTCCCAGGGTGACCCAGCAATACCACTTTTGGGTATATATCTGAAAGAAATATAATCACAAAGAGATATCTGCACTCCCGTATTCATTGCAGCATTATTCACAATAGCCCAGATGTGAAAACAACTTGTCTATTGACAGGACTGGATAAAGAAAAGGTGCTGTGTGTGTGTGAATAGTATTCAGGAAAGGAAAGAAATCCTGCTGTTTGCAGCAACATGAGTAAACCTGGAGGACATTATGCTAAGTGCAAGCCAGACATAGAAAGACAAATATTGCAGGATCTCACTATATGTGGCATCTAAAAAAAGGCAAATGATAGTAACAGAGAGTAAATGGTGGTTATTAGACGCTTCAGGGAGGGGGTGGGGCAAAAGTGGAAATATTGATCAAAGGGTACAAACTTTCAGTTATAAGATGAATAAGTTCCGGAAACAGGGTACAGCATGGTGACTGTAGTTAAAAATAATGTATTATACAATTGAAATTTGCTAAAAGAATGGATCTCAAATGTTCTCACCGCACGCGCGCACGCGCGCGCGCACACACACACAAATGATAACCATGGGAGGTGATAGATATGTTAATTAGTTTGATTGTAGTAATCATTTCAGTTCACATGCACATATCAAAACATCACTTGTATACCTTAAATATATACAGTTTTTATTTGTGAAAATTA